ATATTTTCTTAAGCATCCTTTTTGGTCTGGTCTAATCTTGCTCTTTCTGTAAGGAACTCAAAGTCTATGTGTAGGGGATACCTCTTATTTTATTTTCACAGTAAGGATTCTCTGCAATAGTTTGGGGAGAGAAAAAGAGACTGGCCTAAATTCACTCAGTGAACGTTGCATTCATACAGGCTAGAAATTAGATTTCTCCAGTCATCTGATCAGATTTTTCTTCACCAACATTTAAAGCATAATTGTTAACACTAGAAATAATAATAGTGAATTGTAGGTTTTTATGCCAGAAATTATTGTCATGTAAGGCATCATTATCATTATAGACCGTACAAGTGGTCTTCACTTAACCAAAGTAATTGGTAGTGAATTTCTGTCACAAAGCGACGCAGTAATAAAGCATGATGTCAGGAAGACTACAGTGCTTAGTGATGGAAATGATGGCACTTCCGGTTACCCTTATTAAGAAATCCCATGCCTTTGTTAAGCATAATATCAAGTGGTCACCATTTGCTTCCTCCTCTGGCTTCCCCATTGACTTTGCTTTAGGAAGCCAGCAAAGAAGATCACAAATGGCAATTATGTGATCATGGGATGCTCAAACATTGTAATTGTGTTTTGATTGCCGAGTGCCCCCAGCTTGCATTCATTGTCACACTGTAACCATTGTAAGTACAAGGACCAGTCATAGTACCACTTGTTCAGCACCATCATCAGTTTGAATAGTCATTGAACAAGCGGTGGTTAAGTGAGGACCACCTATATCTGTATTCAAAGGAGAAAAGGCTAATTATTGTGGAAAGTGGAGCAATAAATCAATGTATTCTATTTTGGAAAATCATAACTGAGGAAGGTATAGAACATGTATTGGAAAACAGATTAGCTGTATTTTTTTCTTTACAAGATAAAGATGTTATAATTTCTTACTGCTGATGTAAATGTACAACATTACAAATTTATTTATTATGAGAACCCAAACACATCTCATTCTTATAGAGCTATAGGCCTACCACCTTCTACAACAACTTTCCCCAAAGGGAAAAATGGAAATTGAACAAAAATCATCCAATACTGCTGGATCCACCTCTTGGGCAGGGGGTAGACCATTACTTCCTTTAGGGCAGGTGAAAACCTTCCTTTTTGCAAGGAAGAATTCACTTGTAATGCTGTTGGGCCCAGCTGCTTGTCAGCTCTCATGAGGCATTGACCAACTAGGAAGGACATGTGTCTAGTATATTGATAACGTATATTAATATGAAGTATGCCAAGGAAGCCCTCTGGGGGTTGCTGAGCTAATTAATATCATCAGAAGATGTTTTTGAGATAAAATAGGAAGAAAATTGTACTTAGCTCTTTGCTAATGGAGCAAAGGCAGGATATAAACATAATATCATAGTTGACAATGCTATTTGTTTTGGGTGCAGCACTATAGATTAATGAGGTCTTCCATTGGGGAATATTAGTAATTAACTTGTTGAATATAATTAACCAGTTGGTTAGAATGGCCTTCTTGGTGTAAGAGTACTCACAGTGGGTCCTATGAATGTTTATAAAGAAATAGGTCTCCCTGTTTTTAATTCAGTAAAATACGTATCACAAATATGTATCACAAATATGTATCTACCTATACATAACACCATTCCAACATTCTTTAGAGTGTAACCTTCTGCCTTTTGATCTGGCAATAAATCCCATTTTCTTTTAGTCCCTATTTACAGATAGGGTAAAGAATAGCGGAAAGGATAATCTAGTGTGATTTTCACCAGTTTTCCATCTTGTAGGTCAAACTTTATCTCTGTTTTTAGGAAGTCTCCAGGAAGTAGGATACAAAGGAGTGCAGTGGAATTGACAAAAGTGCTCTTCCCTTCTGCAGCAAAATTCTCCCTTGGGTCTGAAGATCCTCATCTATTTGAGGCAGGATCCAGATCCAATCCTATATTAGTGTGTTTAGTCTAAGACGGGTGTCAAACTCACAACGTCACGTGACATGTCATGACATATTGCGACTTTTTTTCCATTGCCGGCAATGGAGTGGGCGCAGTTTCGGCATGACACATCCGGCCCATGGCCTGGCAATTTGACACCCCTGGTCTAAGATATAAACAAGCTATAGGCTGGGAATGTTGCTCTGGATTATTTCTTGAAATTTCATCCAATAGCCTATTCCATGTTCTTTTCAATTACTTTTCTCTACCTATGGACACTTCCCAATTTATTATTTGATGTGGTAAAATAACACTATATTAGATAATATTTAGATACTTAGATAGTTAGATTAACCAACAGTAATAAAATATTTACATTTCTTTTGGAGACAGGAGAAAAAAGCATGAGTTATCTCATTTCCTTTCTTGTACACAAAAGAGAAACATGTTCCCATGATAGAAACATGTTTATTTATTTATACTACTTTTATTACTTTTTATAAACAACTCAAGGCAGCAAACCTACCTAATACTCCTTAAATATCTCTTTTCCTTTTCTTCTTGAAAATGGGCCAAAAGAAGGGAAAAGTACAAATTACCATGGCAAAGTTACTTTTATATCTTTCAGATTTAATGGTAGAAAAAATTTATAGTAGTGTCAAATCACATAGATTTGCTATGCTAAAATTTAAATTGCGCTAAAAGGCATTTGGTGGTTCTTAAAAACTTATTTTTAATTGTAAAAATAACATGGTTCTTTGTCACAGATTTTGTATATATCTATGGGCAGAGTCTCAGTCAGAACATCCTAGATGTGAGAAACTTTGGCAAGGTTTCATTTCTTCATGCACCCCTAGCATTCCGTTACTTGTCAAAGGTTTTCAAATTACAGAGTAGAATAGAAACTGCATTTTTGTGAGATACTGATGGTTACTGCAGTCATAGGGTATCTTGTCAGACCTAACTCCAGTTGTCCTAATGCCTACTCTCTGTAACATCGGAATAATTACACTGCTACCACACTCAAAATTCTTGGGAAATACAACCAATCTCATTCTCCTGCCAAAAATATGGGCGGTCACAATTACTGCTGCTCAGAAGCTAGTCATTTGTTGTTCCTGTAAAATGTCATTTAGTATTTCTTGCCAGTCAGCATAGTTTTGATATTTCTGTATTTCTCATGTGATGAGGGATTCTCATTTAGTTATTAGATAGTAACAAGAGTTGCGACTTGCCATTTGCTATGCTGGTTTCTTCTTGTAGCCTTTGTAGTGTTGATTCAATTAAAATTTACACAATGACAGCTATAATAATGTTATAAATAACCTAAGAGTCCAATTCCGAATGTGACATGACAGCAAAAGATACCTTGAAAGGTATGCATCAGAGTAGGATGGGTTTTCACCAAAATTTTCTCATCTCTGTAACTTTGATTGTGGCTCTGTGTAACTTCAGAAACATATCCTAATGTCTTCTCAGAGAAAGAGAGTTAAAAGCAAGTATCTTGTATTATTTCTGGAGAGTTTTACCTAGGCGCTTTCTCCAGTGTATAATAAATCATTCTGTACATTTGATCTGTTATCAGAAGGAACCTGGAACAAAGGCTAATAAAGGTTCTAAAGGGAAGAAGGATGAAAAACAGGAATCTGCAAAGGAAGGTACTACACCATCTGAAAATGGTGAAAGTAAAGCGGAAGAGGTACTTTATATATCCTGCTGATTCAGTCAGTGTTTTACAATTCAGTTTCTGAGCTGTTGAAAGCATGTTCATAATACTTTTTTTTGTTGCCCCGTAATGTTACTACAGATTCTCATCTCTCGCTCAACTGTTAGTGTTTCAACATCCAGAAGTGTCCCACCCAGCACATGTCAGTAAAAGGGCAGATTGAAACAGTGAAAGTTTAAGGGTACAGTAGAGCATTCTGCATATGCAGTGAATAGGAACAGGTAGTAGTGTGGTGCTTTTCATTGTGAACAATGGAAGCTAGCAGGTAAGGTTTCTATGGCTTTTACAAACCAGGAACCTGTAAATGCAAGAATATTTATAGTTGTCCTGTCTATAATACAATAGTTGTTAAATAACCCATTTTGTCTGCTTCAAACGTTGGTAGCAAAAGGAAAGATGGCGAGTGCTGAAAATTTGTTTAGAGAAGATGAAGTAGGATTAGTCTTTCTTTATAAAAAGCAGACTGGTATAACATTTTCCCTTTTCCCTTTTACAGGCACAGAATTGAATCAGTAGATGACAGGTGCATATGAACTGACATGAACATTTGAGGATGTTTTTATGTACCTTGACAACTTTTAAGAGATATTTTTATCAAGTACTTTGTAAATGCTAATTTTTTAGGACTTACAATAAGTTGATAAACTATATATGAACGCTTCTTCCTTCTGTATCAGTACTTCTAGAAATTCCCAACGTTGTCAAGTTAAGAAAAAAAAAGCATCATTAAAACAACTTTTGGAAAACAAAAGTATTTATAAAATTGAACAAGCATTCCATATATTTGGTTTTCAGAGCTGTAAGTCTTGGTGCATATAGTGATGTTTTTACTGTGGGTGTTCAGATTTTTTCCATTTTTACCCTAGAGCAATAATCTGTGGTGCTTTTGTAATTAAGGATTAAGTGTTTTAATGAAACATGTATACATTTGGCTACCTGCTGTCCATATGGGATTCTTTTCATTTTTTAAAATAACAAAGTCTCAGTGCTAACAAATATGGTTCATTAGTATCTTTCTAAATCAGAGGTATGCCTTCTAATGCTTGTCAGAAAAATGTTAAACTCAGTTGTTTAGAAATTTTGTTACAACAGTTATTTCAGAATCAAGATTATAGCTCATAGAAAATAGTGGGGCTTACAGCATAATATTAAAATTGATTGACTTTATGGTTAGGAACAGGAGATAAGAATAATATTTACAATTAATGTATTTTAAGCAAACTAGCAGAGCTTTAAGAGGCAGCCACCGCCTTTTGCAGAGCTATTTGCCAAATATACCACAGAACACCCAAAGCTTAGATGCAAAACTAGAGTCTTTAAGGAGCTCTGATGAGCTATCTTACACACTTGGATGGTTCACACATCTTAAAGGCCTTACACTTTGTACAGAAAAATATAAATTGCCCATGGATTATGTAACAAATTATTTTTTTCAGCACTGTTTTATGCTACAGTATTGTAAGTGGAAATTACTTTATGCTTTCTTGAAAGAACAGTTGTTTCACTTTTATATTTCCTTCTCTTAACTGTTTCCCAGTCCATATACATATATATGACGATGAAAACTGCAGTTCCTATCAGCTTAACTTATACTTAGTATTTTCTGTTGATTTATTTCATTTACTTAAATTTTAATATCAAAATGGAGATTTAAAACACTGGGATGGTCTTCTGAAACAATGATGTAAAAATATCTTTGAAGGAGTCTATAATTGTAATGATATTAAATAGAGATTTTTTTTCTAACTTATGTTAACACTGCTTTAACCTCTTGTAAGCATCTAGTTATTTCTCTCTTCTGTTTGGCTGAAATTTGAGTACTTTTATTTTCTGAGGGTTTGGAAAAATTTTCTTCATAACATTTTTATTGCTGCACTTGTGGCCACAATGTCTGGAGTTATATGCATGTTTCAACCAATAAAGTAATTATCACCCAACTCAAATGTCTTTATTTAGTATTTAGCAAAACTGATATTAACAGTAATGATCGACTACTTTTACAAATCTTACTTTGTTTTAAAAGAATTCAGTTACTCTCCTATGCTTATGTTGCTGGAGAAAAATATGATATAATGTAATAAAAGCATTTCATGTGTTGATACACATGATAAAATACAATGTTATATATAAAAAGCTTGAAGATGTGTTTATATGAAAATGGTTTTCCTTAGTCCTTATCATTTTTTAAAGATTCAAAGCATTGAACTGGTTTTGAATGATATGCAGCTCAATCTTTTCATAGAGTAAAACATAACACAATTTGTGATTATTTTCTAAAGTAAAGCCCTACTGATTTTTTTCTTTAGCTTTTATCACAATAAACCTAATAGTAGGTTTATGATACTCAAAACATTAATGAATTTCTTTGCAGCATCCCTTTGATATAGGATGCTCTTATTTTCCATCTTATAGTTAGGTAATTAAGACACAAGAGATTTATTGTCCAATCTTTAAAGTTTTTCTACTAATGGAAGAAAAAGAGTTAATAATACTTACATTGTCCTAGAATTGGAAAAAAAATGAAAACTCAAAAAAATTGTTCATGGTAAAATTTGAAATTAAGTCAAATGTTCCTGTCATAGTATTAGAGCCTTTATGTATCACTCATGTCCATGATTTCTCCCCAGGTCTAATACATTTTAAAACTTATTTTACTAATTTTCCATTATTTGATAAGCTGTAATTTACACAAATTTCAAATTATACAAAATGCACTTTTAGTTTGCTGGATGGATCTGAAAAATATATTACATTGGGTTATACATTTTATTTAATGCATAGGTAGGTAAAAATTTGTAAAGCTGGATTATTTATTGATCAGAAATAGCATTCCATATATGGAAAGTTAAATGTTCCTCAAAAGCCCTTTTTAAAAGTATATTTGAATCCTATTTAGTGTAGTTCCCCCCCACAGCAATTAACAACCTATATTTAGTAGGAAGAAATGGCAAGGAAAGGAGATAAGGCATACATTGGTTAAATGTCTCAGTTTACTTAGAACACATATGATGGAATTACCCTTTGCTAAGAAAACACAAATTAGCATCTACTTGGACATTTTTTACTCACGTAATGGAGGAGAGAGACGGGCACATATGTATTGGCAAGCCTTGCCCTTCCAAATATAATTTCCCATCAATATAACTCCGACATAAGCTATAGAGCAGACATCTAAATAGAAACCTCACTTGCATGCAGAGGCTAAAATCAAGGTTCTAGATTTTATAAGAAGCCTGAAGCCTGCAATGGAACACAAACTCAGCAAAGGTAACTGTTGGTATTTAGAAGGCAGTGGAGATGATGTTCTTCCTCTTCAATTTTTGATTCTTTGCACCATTGAAATTGGTGGTGGTATCTTTTCTGAAACTATTAAGAGCATAATGTATAAGAGTTTTTTTCATAGCACTTGACATTTCTACAGTTTAAAATAGGTAGAAAAGGTAAAGTAAAAAAAAAAGTAAAAGAATGAACTTTAACGGTTAAGGGAAACTTAATCTATAAACAAAAATTACAAAGCAGAGGTCACCACAAAACCTCACAATTAAAAAAAAAAACAGTATTAGGACTAGTAGAATTCAGTATTCATAAAAATACATCTGGAATAATTTTCTCCCTGATACTAAGTGCTAATACATTCCCTGATACTAAGAATGCTTGAAGATTTTGGGTTTTTTTTTCTAGAAAAGAGACATTACTTTTTCTTGCCTAGCAGGGAACATATCTGCCAAGGCACATAGGGTAGGCATATGACTGGAGTAGTTTTCTGTTGATGGCAACACTCCACAGCATTGTCTGTCTCAGATTTAATTTCCCTGGATAGAAAATTCCATTCATGACACATCAGAACCAAAATTTATCTAAAATTACTGTACCTTTCAGACCTTGGGTAGCAGGGAGACCTGGATGATAACCCAAGTATGCCATTTTCTGTAGCAGAAAATATTCAAGTAACTTGACTCCTGAGTTATATACGGGTTAAAACACCTGTATTTTGAATTAAATCTGAAATTGGTAGCTAGAGAATTTTTAGCAGGGTAAAAGATACTAAAAATATAAATATCCCTCATTTAGAGGAACACGTTGGTTTGAAATGTATGCTGTAAGAAATTTGGCATCATTGTAAATAAGAATTATTGAATACCCATGGCTTTAATAGTCCATAAAATAATTTTACAAAATGGGTGTGTGGGAAGTAGGCATTGTTGGCATTTCTCATTTGGAGGTGAACAGACTTAATCCTGAATTTGCCAGAGTATGTTCCATTATTATTAAAGTATTTTACTGTACTGAGAACAAGGAAAACAGGAGGACTCCACTGTCCCCCCTCTGCTTCCGAAATCCCTTGCTGTGGCATTAAGGGAACAGGAAGACACCAGACTCCACTTCATCATCTGTCTTTCTAATAAGGGAGCAGGTGCTGTTTATCTGCTTCAGCTTTGTATCTCTGCTTTTCTGCCTGAAAGAAGTCTCTAGCCAGATGCATTAATGCTTTCACCCTGGGAACCACCACAGAGTGGAAGTTTTGAGTGTAACTGCTATGGCAATAGGGATGTCCTTTATTTTTTGCTTTCCTTGTAATCCTGATACATGAAGCAAGTATAACTTCAACTCTTTTTTACGCTGAGTGCCAGCTACTGCTCTGCTTACCATCAAGATTTGTTTAGGTAAACTTAAATATTGCTTCGAGGTAAATGGCTAATATCTTTCAGTAAGTCTGTGAAAGACTAAAGATTGCAAAAGCTGGTCCAATTCATAGATTATACTTCACTTCCTGGCAAGATTACTAGTCAACCCTCACAAATTTGCATCCTATTACAGGCAATTACTGTATCTTTGCCCTCAGTGAATGCATTCTTGCAGTTTCTGTCCCCTCCTTTGTTACCACTTTCTCATTTGAGTACTTAATTCACTACATTCATTTTTTTGCAAGCATGTTGCAGCAGTCTTAATTCTCAGGATGGGTTTTCGTATGATCTAGAATGCTGTTATTTTAGGACCCTATTATAAAGAGAAAGTGAAAATTAATAAGAACTCTACAAGTGACTCCATTTAAGAAACCCTTATGATCTCCTGTAATACAATAATATTTCCTATTACATTTACATAGGTAAAATAGAACGGATGCACACATTTAAAACAGGCATAACTGGGCAACTTCACTGAGTTGTACTAGAACTTATATACAAATTTTGTTATATTTTTAATACAGATGTTGAAGAAATATTAATTTCTCCATATAAACTTACATGTAATTGTTAAAGGTAATTGTTTCTTTTTTGAGGACCATATAACAGGCCCACAGATGTTGATGTCTTTTCAGTTATGCAGGCAGTCTACTATTTTAGCAAAGTTATTTAGATCACTGATTACTTCATCCATTACATTTCCATGTTACATTTTTATATAGTTAGTATTCCTTTAAGCAAACAACCACTAAGCACATTGTACCAAACACAAAGTATAGTAATTTTTTATCCTTGAACCTGAGAATTTTTAATTATTTAAAGGTGGTCTTGAATGTGCTATAATTGTTGTCAACTAAAAGAATTTTATTTCATTAGCACACATGTGCACACATACAAAGTAAAAGTACAGTAATTGTTAAAAAATTTAAAGCCTCCAAATAAGCATTAATGAAAAGATAACATTTATCACTAAGGCCAGTACTTCCCAGCCTACCACATTCTAGATGTCTGGGATTTCACATTCCATAATCCTCAGTTCAACATACCGTATTTATCGGCGTATAACACGCACTTTTTCCCCCTGAAAATAGGGGGCAAATGATGTGTGCGTGTTATACGCCGATATACGGCCAGCCCGGGTAAATTCGGCCATATTCTTCAATACGGGCCGGCCCCAGCAGTTCCCCTCTCCTCTTTGTGTGTGTGTGTGTGTTTGTCTCTCTCTCTCTCAATTCTCC